CTTTGCACTAGCTGTCTCACATGTGTGGAATGTTCTACTTCCTTACTTCTATTTTTTGGAATCCCTGGTTTGCTTCAAGACTCAGCTCATGCATGACCTTTATATAAAGGCTTCCTGCATTATGTAACCCTCTGGCTACTCGTATACTGTCTCCCAAAACTAACTTGTATTCACTTGGTATATATTATGCATACTTTATTTATGTATGTGTTGTGTCTATCATTAGAATGTAAGCTTCCTGAGGGTAGGGACTGTTTTATTTTTGTCTTTCTATTAGAGGGATCTGTCTGATCATGAGCCCCATAGCCTTAGGACAGATTAAGTTTTTGTTGTTTTTTTTTCCATATGTAGTGACAGAAGCATGCGACAACTGAAATCAAACCTCTGTGTCCAAGGAAACCTGCTCTATCTTTAGCCATGTAGTGCCTCTCTCTATCTCTGATCACCAGCGAGTTGTTTTTACCTTGCCTACCATTTCCCCTGGTACTTAGTACACTTGACCTGTGGTCTTTTGGCCTTTTTCCTTATATGGTCAGGATCTGGCTCCCTTTATTTTTCCTTATTAACTTGCTAATTTAGATCACGGCTGTTCTGCTGCATGGTAGTTAGAACCATAAAAGCCTCAGTTAGGAGAGAAAAACAGAGGCCTGGCGTGCCTATCAATTGCAATTTCCCTTCATATTGGGTTAAGGGAAGGTGGCTGACCTTCTATATTAGTCAGAAGAAGAAAATAATCTGAGAGTGAAAACTCATTAGTCATATATCAAAGATTCAAGATGACCCCAAATAAATGGCTGGGTACTGGGTAAGAGTGACTGCAGGCAGTAATGTGTTTCCCAAGGGGAGTGAAACTTGGAGAATCTGATGAAGAGAAAAAAAGACTGGAGGGGGTGGTCATCTGCCCTCAGAACCACGTTTTAGAACTCAATTATAGTTACCCTAATCACAGTCCAGTGAAAAGGAAGTGTTTAAAGTGACTCTTCAGTATATATATATATATATATATATAGATAGATAGATAGATAGATAGATAGATAGATAGATATAGATAGATATAGATATAGAGATATAGATATATAGATATAGATATAGATATAGATAGATATAGATATAGATATAGACATAGATAGATATAGATATAGATAGATAGATAGATAGATAGATAGATAGATAGATAGATAGATAGATAGATAGATAGTCATAGCTCTGATGAAGAGCAGTGCAGGAGGGATGCTGCAGTTAAGAAAGGCAGTATTACAGCTACTAAATAAAATACCAGAAAGAGATTGCCTTGCTGTTTGCCTTGAGGGCCAAGCTGAAATTAGGTAACATAAATTTGTATCAGATCTAGTCAGTATGCTTATATGACTTCCTCTAGCTCTATTCAGCAGCTCATGAGAAGGAATAGATGCAAATAGTAGGAATAATTCAGGGCTGAGGTTTGGCAAAGTATGAGTGTCAATGGAGAAATGAACATGGGATTCAAAAGATTATTCAATATGATCAGGTTGGATTTATACCAAGAATACATGGGATGGTTCATCATTAACTACAAACATAATAGACTATATTAGTAACAAAACAATAAAAATCATGAAATTATTATCAATAAATAAAGGAAAAGCCTTTGACAAAATACATCAGTTATAGTATCTATCTGAAACCAAATACGAGAACAATTTATAAGGGACAAACACTGGAAGCCTTTTCAATAAGATCAGGGTAAAGCAAGGATGTCCTGTGTCACTACTAGTATTTTATGTACTTTTAGAAGTACTAGCTATAGAGCTATGACAAGAAAGACACATAGAGGAAATCAACAGAATTTTATGTAGTTGCAAATTATATTATAATTTGGTTTGAGAACTTCATAAAGTCAACGAAAAAATTAAGTGAAATAATGAGTAACTTCAGTAAGGTAGTAAGATATAAAATAAACTCCCTGCAGGAAGAAATAGAAAAATAAATCCCATTCAGAATGTAGCTCATCCTTAGCATAGATTGCTCCTCCCACAGAGACATTCCCATGGAGACTTGGTGGGGGCAGACTTGTCTAGCCCACATATTACCCAAAGTTCCATAAGTTTCCATGGCTTTTGACCTTCCAAAAGTGGGAAGGCAAAGATGTCAGGCAAAGAAATGACACAGAGATATGGAAATAAGGACAGTGGCCATATCTGGTTCTATGCTCCTCCTGACAACCCTAGTGGAGAGCTTGGGGTGAGAGAATCACCTCCCCATTAGTAAAGGCAGGGAGCAGCAGAAAAGAGCAAGCTGGGAATAGAAAGGAGGTGATGATCAGCCCAGAGTTATAGAGCCAGGAGTGGATGCACATGTAGAGGATCAAAGCATCAAATGCATGTGGTTGGTGAAAGAAATTTAAGTCCAGTCCACATTCCCTTTGCTTCCCCTTCTGTGAGGAAACCTTGCTCCTTTAATCTGCCTGAACATGTTTCTTCTTGTTTACTGCTCCAATCTGTGGGGGGAAGAAGATAGTTCTATCCTCCAGCTACAAGTCATATGCTATACTTTGTTTTAACATCTGCATTTGTATGCTCTTTGATATTTCTATTAAAGTATATGAGTATTAATGCTGATTTAGTTTAAGCCTGTAAGTACACAGTTCAAAATTTTGAGAAGAGAAACTAACCCATAGGGAAAATGTCCCTGATTAGGGAGAGGGTTTTCTGTAATTTTAGTGATATTTCAGAGCATAATTTAGATTGTCTCTTCAAAGACAGAGAGAGAGAGAGAGAGAGAGAGAGAATGACTGACTAAATGAGAAATAAGTCAGATGAAATGAGAGATGGTAGTTAGTATATTTGTTCAAGTAATCATATATAGTACCTAGCCAAAACCCCAACTGGCTACAAAAATAACTACAAAGTGAATAAAACACATTTGGAACATATTTCAGATCTATATGGTTACAACTACAAAACAGACTCCATAAGGAAGACAAATAATTAGAGAGATATCTATTATTCAAGGTTGGGCCACTCTAATACAAATGGTGATATTATCTAAATTAATTTACATATTTAATTTAATACCACACCAAAGTGCAAAGTAGTTACTTTATAGAACTAGATACAATATAAGATTTATCTGGATGAACAAAAGGTCAAGAACCACTAGGGAAGTAATGAAAAAAAGAAAGGGAAGGGGGAATAGCACTATGTTACCTGTTGGGAGGAGGCATTGCAAAGCGACAGTGATGAAGAAAAGAAAAAGCATGAACATTTGAGCTGAATCTTTTTTGGGGGGGGGTGAGGCAATTGGGGTTAAGTGATTTGCCCAGAGTCACACAGCTAGTAAATATTATGTGTGTGAGGCTGGATTTGAACTCAGGTCCTCCTGACTCTAGGGCCAGTGCTCTATCCACTGCTCCACCTAGCTGCCCCATGAACATTTGAAAAGAAAAATGTATACTATACAAAAGGAGGGAAATAGAGAGTGGGCCAGTTAAATAAATGGGAAGACTACCTAGAAAAGAAATCCTCCTTGCTCAAGGAAGAAATAATAACAGCTCATATTTGTAAATTGCTTTAAGGCTTACAAAGCCTTTTCTTCACAGCAATCTTTCCAGGGTATTTAGTATAACTTAAACCCACTTTATAGATGAAGAGAGTGAGGTTCAGAGAGATGAAGTGACTTGTCCGAGGTCCCATGCTGAGTGTTCAAAATTCGACCTCAGGTTTCTCAGGACAAAGGCTTTTTTCTCTACTCTCTACTGCCTCTAGAAACCAATTTAACAAGTGTAAAGGCTCATAATTCTCCCATACCAGGACAGTCAGAAGAATAAGAATATGCATGATATTACAGAAAAAGGACTGAACTTGGAACAAGTCACTGTTTCCTTATCTGTAAAATAGGGTAATAATATCTACCTGTTATTAGCTAGATTATTGTCCCAGCTCAGACTTCTGGGACCTTCCGACACTTTGACCCTCTGCTCAGAGGGACCCAAGTTGACAACCTGCTCAGACTGGGAGGTTGCTGGCAATGGTTCTAAAAGAATTGCCCTGGGCCAGTATCTGGCTCTAAGGATCATTATGAGACAAAATGTAGTGAGGTAGAGTACTGGATACTTTTTCATCCTACCTTGAGGGGAGAAGGAACTGTCTTGTTCTGGCCCACTATCATTCCCTAAATTTTGTACAGCTGGCCCTGAAGAAGTGTTGGGTTTGTGCTTTGGGAGAGTTCAAGAGTTTCACTATATTTTTATCTTTAGGACTTGGTATCAAAGAGAGAGCGATCCTAAGGCAAAGTGAGAAGATTACAGGAAATAAATTACCTGAATCCTTCACATTACTTATACAAATAAAGAACAACTGACCCAATCCAATCCTAATGAAGTAAAATAGGTGAAGGGTTAGGTTCCCCACTGGGCTCTCTCCCTTTTCCCCTTTAATCTCTTCCCAGATGTGAGGACAGGAAAGGCTCAAAATATTGTCCCCCCCCCCCGAAGCCCATGTCACTGATGACCCAAAGACTCACCAAACCCACATGCCTGTGATCTGGTTGAAAGACAGATTGTAAATTTCCTAACTTTCTACAGTCCGAGTCATCCCCACAGCCCAATGAGGCACCAAGGCCTCTCCTCAAATGAACTGGAAATAGGAAGCAGCAGGGTCTGGGGCCAAAGAAAAAACTCTGATGCCTGTATTATCCCCTTAGGGATCCCTACCCCCAAGAATGAAGACTAAAAAGATATTCAAGGGCTACTATCTCTGGGGCAATCTGGCAGTATACCAATCCTGTCTTTTTTCCTCCAGGAGGAAACAGAGCCTTTTCTCCTACCTGAGCAAAGGAGAACAGTAGCAGCAAGAAGGGTAAAAGGTTCCAGATCAACCCCTCTCATTGATAGCTCTGAGTAGGGTGAAGAAGCCTGGCTATCCATATCTCTTCTTTCAGCTCTAGGCGTGACCCCTCTGTTTGCCCTTCCCCAAACTCATTTGGTAGAAGTCACAGTCCCTGACTCTGCACTTTGAACTCACCAGCAGAGGTCATCGGCTCAAGAGATCACTCAGGGGTGAGGTGGTAGGCAGGAGAAAGCTGGACCATTTCAATGACAACTCTGGAGCACTAAGACCCACCACCAAATCCTGAGAAAGGAATGAGAAAGGCATGTAGTCAGTCACACCTGGGGTGGTCATTCCCTGCTCCTTTCAGAAACATCCCAGAAAACCCCAGGGCCATTGCTTCTTGGAAATGCCTGTTTCTTTGCCCTAACTAGCCCATACTAACCTCCTCATGGAAGACAGCCACCTAACAATGATTTGGGGGAAGAGCTGAACTCTGCTCAGGAGTGTTTCCGCAAAGCTCAGAGAAGATCTACTTACCCAGGCTCTAGCCCCCTGGCTGTGTCTGAGCCCAGACAGGAGGCTGACTCACTCACCACACGGAGGAGGAGAAAAGAGGAGGAGGAGGCTCAGGAAGGGCCCAGACACAGCCAGGCTAGGGGCACCCTGCCGGTCCCACCCCCCTCATTCCCCAGGTATCAAGGGCCTCATCCTTGATCTTCTATGAGCCAGAGGGCTAGACCCTCTCACCTGGGCAATCTTGGCTCTCCACAGCTCCCTCAAATCCCACACGTGCTGTTTCTTCGCAGAAACTTTCCCAAGTGGCTTTCACTCATTCGCTCACAGAAATTTCTCATTTCAATTCACTTCACCTACTCAGAAGCAACTCTGGAGTCTTCTCCTCAGAGGTGCCATACTTTCATCCAGCCATTCTACATCCCTCCCCAAGGTCTCCCATCCCCTCAGCCACACGCACACGCTCTGGAGGCACTTCCTTAATTAAATGGCACCGTACTAATAATGATAGTTGTAGAAAATTCTACTTTAAGAAATCTTACTCGAGACCCGTCTTGTGTGTTTTACGATTCCCTGGGGGAAATGGACAAAGATAATGATAGTCCTGGTGGACTCTAGAACCATACAGTTACCAGTCTCCTTCAACACTTCTCCTGAGGAGTAGTAGCACCCCGGCCTCCCTTCCTCCCATTTTCAACTCGAACGCTTTTTGACTGGGGGGGGGGGGCGTAGAGTCAATTCTTTTTCTACCGCAGCCTACAATCCACTTTCTCGCTGGGCAAAAACTCCCAGGACTCCGTTCTTTCTCCTAGCTCAGTGTCCAGCCTGACTTGTGGCACCATATGCTGGCACTCAGACCGTGCCCTCACCTCCCAGCCTTGCACAGTGGTCCAGGGGAGCACACACTCGTAGGCACATATACCCTCCTCCCCCGGCCCCGAGATCTCTAGATCTCCACTCCGCACCCGGTCCCAGTCTCGGTCCCGGTCCCAGCTCTGAGCCCCGTCCTGGTCCTTGCTCCGCACCTGGTCCCCGAACACGCTCGCTCTGAGCTCGGAACGGCTGGAGCTCCGAGTCTGCCTTTTGACAAGAAGAACCAGCCCCGCACCTGGCCCCGCCCCCTGGCTCTGACCCTGCCTCCAGACCCGCCCCATCATTTTGGCCCGGCTCCTGGGTCCCAGTCCTCTCCAACCAGTTGCTGGAGTAGGCTGAGCTCAATCTGCGCCGACACCATCTTGAGTTTGGAATCAACCACTCGCCCGTGGAGGGGGCAGAGGAACCTATCCCATGCGTCCCTGAGACTTTGGGAGCAAGATGGGTTTCTACCCTCTATATTTATGTCGTCTCAGTCACTGTGACTCTGAAGATTCACGTTCTGGCCTTTATGTGTTATTTTGTGGACAGTTTCCCCCACTTCCTCATCTTACAGTGGTACAGTCCATCGCATTTTCCAGGTGCGTCGCCCACACCTGGATGGGTCTGCGCGTTCTGAATGCTGTTAGCGCCCGTGTTGTAGACTATGGGAGTTAAATCATTTTTTTTTTTCCCACTGGCTTTGGAGAGGAAAACAAGGGGTAACATAAACCGTCCTTTGTATTTCGGCCCAAGTGCCAACGCAAGCGTGGTGTTTCTTTTTCTTCAGAATTTTAATTTAATTTAATATTTTTGTTGTTCTGAACTTGACAAACACCAACGAAGACGAGCAATTCTATATATTTCAAGGTGGGGGGGGAAGGGAAGTGTTATATATGAAGCCGAGAGTCTCTCTTATGTATATAGCTCTCAAAAGTACACAACAAATTAAATCATTGGGTCCAAAAGCTGTTCTATTTATCTAGGTCTCCCTCAGAACCTCCTTCCGTTTTCTTCTGTGCTTATACTTTTCCCCCCTTCTTTTTTGCCATCGCTATCATTAACCTTCTTATTCTCTCTCCTCCCCAAAGCCTTCCCTTGTAACAAATAAGCATGGTCCAGTGAAAAACAAATCCGTTGGCCATATCTGAAAAAGTATGTTCTGTTCGGCACCTCTAATCCATCTCCTTTTGAGTTCTAGAGGTCTAGAGGACTTGGGTCACCTGGGGTTAGAGCTGACTGGCAGCTGCTGGAGCTGCTGCATCAGAGAAGACCATCCCTGACAAATTAATTGGGCTGAGCCTGGCCCTTTCACTGGCAGATATAGCTTGGGAGTTGTTTGGACAAAGTCAAGAGGAAGTGAAATGTAAAACAACTAATTAGCAGTCCCTGATTTTTCATTTTTCCCTCATTTGACGGGTGTACCCTTAATTCCCTTAATTTCTCTGTGAAATAGCCCCAAATGGTATCACTGGATCAGAGGATGTGAATAGTGATTATTTTTTTTTGCTATAATTCCAAATTTCTTTCTAGAATGGTTGAATCAACTCACAATTCCACCAATAGAGCATCGCTGAGACTAATCCTCTCCAAAAATTGTCAATTCCCCCTTTTTTGGTCATCTTTGTGAATCTGTTGGGTGTGACGTAGAATACTGGAATTATTTTAATTTGCATTTTATTAATGATATCGAATATTTTTTCATATCATTATTGATAGCTGCTTTGGGGAATTGCCTATTTATAGCCTTATGTATTGGTGAATGGCTCTTTTTCTTCTATATTTGAATCAATTCCTTATATGTCTTAGACATCAGAACTTTTATCAGGGAACCTTTCTGCAAAGATTGTTTTTTTTTTACTGGCTGTTTCATTTCTCATTTTAATAACACTGATTTTGCTTGTGAAGAAGCTTTTCAATGTTATGTAATAAAAATGATTCATTTTATTTATTGTGATCTTCTCTATTCCTTGTTTACTCAAGAAATCTTCCTCTATCCATGATGGTGAAAGCTACCACCTTCCTTGCTCCTTATGTCTAGGTTATGTGTCCATTTGCAGTTTATACTGGTATATGATTTGAGATGTCGGACTAAATCTAATTTCTGCCACACAGCTTTTTAGTTTTCAGAGCAGTTCTTGTCAACTAGTAAGTCCTTAACCTAGTAGTTGGGGTCCATGGCTTTATCAAACACTGTTACTAAGCTTGTTTGCTTCTAGATTTGGTGTACCATGTTTGACCAATCAGCTTTCCTAATTTTTTTAAACCAGCACCAAATAGTTTTCATAATTAATGCTTTCTGGTATGATTTAAGATCTGGTGCTGCTAAGTTCTCTTCCTTTTGACTTTTTTCTTTATTTCCCTTGAAGTTCTTGATCTTTCCTTCTGATGAATTTTGTTATTAGTTTGTCTAGTTCTAGTAAGTAACCCTTCAGTATTTTGATACTGAAGGCAGCTAACTGGTGCAGTGGATAGAGTGCTATGGCTGGAGTCAGGTAGACTCATTTTCCCGATTTTAAACCTGGCCTCAGATGCTTACTAGCTTTGTGACCCTGGGCAAGTCACTTAACCCTGTTTGCTCAGTTTCCTCATCTGTAAAATGAGCTGGAGAAAAAAATGGTAAACTAATCTAGTGTCTTTGCCAAGAGAATCCCAAATGAGGTCACAAAGAGTCATACTCAACTGAAAAACAAAAAAATTTGATTAGTGTGGCACTGAATAAGTAAATTAATTTAGGTAATATTGTAATTTTTATTACATTGGCACAATCCAATTATGAGCTTCAGTTTTTAGGTTTGTCTTTATTTCTGCATAGAATTCTTTATAGAGAATTTTGTAGTCATATAATGCCTATGTGTTTCTTGATATTCGGACTCCCAGATATCTTATGTTTAGATATCGTGAATGGAATTTTCCTCGTTTTTTCTTACGGGTTTTGTTGCTCATATACATAAATGCCAGTGATTTATGTGAGTGTATTTTATATCCTACTTGGATGAAGTTATTGTTTCAATTAATTATCAGTTGAATTTTTAAGGTTCTCTAAGTAGACTATCATAGCATGGGCAGTCACTCAGCAGTCAACAAGCATTTATTAGGCAATTACCATGTGCCAGGTACTGTGCTAAGTACAGGGAATACAGATACAAACAAGAAGGAAAAAAACATTCCCTACTCTCAAGGAGCTTACATTCTAATGGTAGAAGGCAAAACGTAAGAGGAATCTGAAAAATGGATTTGGGGAAGGAGAAGGTAACTGGTGAGGAAGCATGATAAAGAAGTCTGATGTTCAGCCTTGTGAAAAATGAAGGGGGAAAAGGTGATTATTGTACTTCCTCTTTGCCTGTGCTTATTCCCTAAATTTTCTTTTCTTGTTTTGTTGATCTAGCAAAAATTTCTAGTAACTGGGTCAAATAACAGGAGTGATAATCAACATTTTTGTCTTAACCCTGATCTTACTGGAAAGGCCCCTGCAGCATTTCCCCGCTACAGATAATACTCACTTGGTTTGTTGCTGTTCAATCATGTTTCAGTGGGGTTTTCCCGGCAAAGATACTGGAATGATTTGTCATTTCCTTCTCCAGCTCATTTTACAAATGAGGAACTGAGGCAAACAGGGTTAAGTGACTTGCCCAAGGTCACACAGCTAGTTAGTGTCTGAGGCCAGATTTGAACTCAGAAAGATGAGTCTTCCTGACTCCAGGCCTAGCACTCTATCCATTGTGTCACTTAGCTGCCTATTCTCTCGGTTACTATTGGGCAAAATAATTTCCAATTTTTTTTTATTCATTTGTTGTGATTTTTCCTTTTTTATATCTTTCATTTTGTCCACTTCTCTTAAAAATCAGATCAGCCAACAGTTTATTTTTTTTATTATTTTTAAAGCTTATTTTCTAATTTATTATCAATTCAATGGAGTTTTTGCCTTCAATTTTATATCTTTGACTTTCAGAATTTTTATCTCTGTGTTTAGTTGGAAGTTTTTATGGCTACTTTTCTAGTTGTTTTTTGGTTGGCTGCTCAAGTCATTGATCTATTTTTTCTCTCTTTTGTTGAGGAAAGTATTTAGAGATAGAAATTTTTCTTAGGATTGCTTTAAGCAGCACTCCAACAGTATTGGTATGTTGTATCATTGTTGTAATTTTCTGTGACAAAATTATTCATTGTTTCTTTTATTTGTTCTTTGAGTCACCAATTCTTTGTTTTATTTATTTAGTATCCCATTTAAGTCTGAATTTTTTTCTTCAGATGCCCTTTATTGATTATAATTTTCTTGTATTGTAGTCAATAAGGATGTGTTTAATATCTCTACTTTTCTGCATTTGCTTATGAAGTTTTATGTCCTACCACGTGTTTAATTTTTATAAAGGTGCCTGGCACAGTGTATAGCTGCTTAATAAATATTGATTGATAAATCAAATTGTAAGTCTGGCAGAGTAGCTGAAAAAAATGTGGAAATTAAATAATGTCAAGTCAAATCCATACATTTCTATGACTTCATTCTTTCTCAGTAGGCTTACTGTGGAGGTTGGGGGAGTGGTTAGCAACTATGCTGTTAGAGTGGGTAATTGTGTAGAAGTTAGGGTAGCTCATCTCTCTATTAAGCTCTGCTCCAACTCCTTTGAGGTGGGAACAAGAAGAAATGGACCAAAACTTCAGCAACAGGACCAAACATAAATATAAGGCAGAGCTTATGGTGAAGGTTATGAAGATATTGGAACAGTTTTTTTTATGGGAGCTATATGGAATCTTCCTCCCTGGAATGCTTTTAAAAATAGGAGAGACATTCATTTCATGGAAATCATAAAATCTTAGCATTGGAATCGATCTCATCTAGTTTAATCTGAAGCATTAATCCCCTATTTGTCTGAATTAGGGGATAGGTCACTCAGACTGGGAAAGGGAAGAAAGTAGATGACCTTATGAGGTGCTCTGATTTTCTCAAGATTCAAATGTAGCAGGTGTGATGAGAACTTCTCAGTTTTGAGTCTTTTCCCCTACTTCTTGAAGTTTATTTGAAGAGATTACCATATATAGATCTTTGTTAGAAAGAGGTTTCTCCCAAGGAGCTAGATCTTCCTTAGGACTTTGGTCCTCAATGATTCTAGATAATGATTGGTGACTGAGAGTTGGGGGGTGGAAAGGCAGAGACTCCAATTAAAGAAACCTCCTCTTTCTATATCTGTGAAAATAACTCCACCTTCTTTTGAGGCCTTTCT